CCTTCTGTTTGCCTGTGTGTGTGTTTATGTGTGTGTCTGTGTATGTACGTAAAAGTTCAAATATATATAACATAACTGAGTAACAATACAATATGAATATATACAAATATTGATGGAATTGATGAAGGCAAATATAAAGATTTTATTTTGTGACAAGTATTTATAAACAGAAGTAAAATGTCATTAAGTTTTCAAAACGTTTACATTTAAGAACACTCATAAATATTCTGCAGGTTAACAGCGAAAGTCAAGATAAATTATGGAGGATATTAATTGATGTAATTTAATGCGTCATAAATGTGAGTTGGTGGTGTTCAATTTTTTTTCCTTATTAGTTTGCATATCTATCTATCTATCTATCTATCTATCTATCTATCTATCTATCTATCTCTCTCTCTCTCTCTCTCTATATATATATATATATATATATATATATATATATATACAAAATTCTTCATATAGCTTTAACTTACACAATTTTATGCATATGAATATGTCTTATCATACACACACACACTCACATAGATAGATAGATAGATGAATAGATAGATAGATAGATAGATAGATAGATAGATAGATAGATAGATAGATAGATATGAACAGACTCGGATAGATAGATAGATAGATAGATAGATAGATAGATAGATAGATAGATAGATATAATGGATGAGAGCATCAAACAGACTGAGATAGATAGAGTGAGAGATGAAGATAGATAGATAGATAGATAGATAGATAGATAGATAGATAGATAGATAGATATAGGCATGAAAAGACTGAGATAGATAGATAGATAGATAGATAGATAGATAGATAGATAGATAGATAGAATGGAAGAGACCATCAAACAGACTGTTAGATAGAGTGAGAGATAAAGCTAGATAGATAGATAGATAGATAGATAGATAGATAGATAGATATGAACAGACTCGGATAGATAGATAGATAGATAGATAGATAGATAGATAGATAGATAGAATGGAAGAGAGCATCAAACAGACTGAGTTAGATAGAGTGAGAGATGAAGATAGATAGATAGATAGATAGATAGATAGATAGATAGATAGATAGATAGATAGATAGATATGAACAGACTCGGATAGATAGATAGATAGATGACAGATAGATAGATAGATAGATAGATAGATAGATAGATATGAACAGACTCGATAGATAGATAGATAGATAGATAGATAGATAGATAGATAGATAGATGAATAGATAGATATGAACAGACTCGGATAGATAGATAGATAGATAGATAGATAGATAGATAGATAGATAGATAGAATGGAAGAGAGCATCAAACAGACTGAGTTAGATAGAGTGAGAGATGAAGATAGATTGATTGATAGATAGATAGATAGATAGATAGATAGATAGATAGATAGATAGATAGATAGATATGAACAGACTCGGATAGATAGATAGATAGATAGATAGATAGATAGATAGATAGATAGATAGATAATTCTACTGAATTTCATTAATGTTAGAATATCTGAGAATTATATAGAACATAGGTTATATGTGATAAAATCAAAATAATTCACCGATCAAGAGTGACAAATGTGAAAGAGTCCATCATATTGTTGGTCCTTTATACGTTATGTTTCTTATTGACATGTCTCTGCACAAAATGGTTAAAAACAAATTATGTTAACTTGTTATCTAAAACATATATAGAGGAGTTTATGTCTGTTGCTTTCTCCCTTATTTAGAATTCATAATATTCCTTCTGCCAGACTGGCCCTCAACCAAATTTATGAAGTCCAATCTACCCTAATATTTTACATACTATTTACTAAAAAGTATTTACTAAAAGTATTTACTAAAAAGTATTTACTAAAATATTTACTAAAAAGTATTTACTAAAAAAAATAATTGTAAATTACGGTTTCTAAAAACGTCCGCTTAAATACAAACAAGAAATACTTTGACAGAAAATATGTTCAATTTTGTGCAGTTACATTTGTGTTTTTTATTTACTTTTCTAAAAATCCGGATTTACATATGATTTACAGAGAAAACGTATTCTTTATATATAAAAATAAAAATATCGACTTTTCTTTTATATTACTGCATAACTGACCTTACATTTCTGCCATAATAGCTTTGAAATTACAGAAGATGCTTCATATAATTTAGTATTACATTTCGGAGATGAGTAATTGTTAATATTATTGTATTATTTCGAACTATTTCGTTTACGTTGATTGATATAAATGTTATTATAGACAAAACCTTCCGACCAAGTACCCTCTTGTCATCATCAGATGTACAATTATTATGCAATATTATTGTGATATTTCGTCCCTCTGATGTCAGTAATTGTTTTTCATATGAATTGGTGCTTTACTTCATGATCCAAGGTTTGAACTAGATAAACAGTAGATGACATTAAGATTTAACCAACTGCTATATCCATTATACTATTTGCCCCAAAGACATTAGTGGTGTGTTTTGGGGAGCCTTTTTTATATTCATTGTCAGGTAGTTTTAACATTTAATTATGATGACGGGTTGAGTGCCATGATCGCTCTTCAAATGCAGACATTGTCTTTCTACTTGTATAATTTTCTCTGAATTTCGGAGATTTTTATTTACATAATTTACAATAGGCTTGTTGCCTTGACCTTTGCAGTTATTCTATTTGTAACATCGATCAAGTGCTTGTCGACCCGGGTAAAAATCTAGATATTTCTAACTGAGACTTATATATACTCTACCGTTGATATGAAATTATAGCCATAGACTGTAATTAAACTGAAGACCTGGGAAAAATACAGAAACAGATAACATTAAATTTATGCTGGAAATTTGGACATTATCATTATTATTAGTATACCGATGGCCATGCTTTAAAATATTACGGCGATTGTTTGAAACTTTTAATAGTGAGATACAATGAAACAAAAGCCTTGAAATAATGTATTGAGATTCAGTAATGCAGAGATAAAGAACACACAACTAAAAGAGACGGCCAATGAATCGTTTAACTGATCCATCCTTATATATTTTTGAACGTTCACTGGTATGTATTATTATTTGATTACACTTGGGATTATATAAATCGTTTTTGGCTCAATATATTTACCCGTTAAAAATGTTATGTATTTAATATAACAGTGAAATTGAAATAGCATCTCCGAAAAATAATTAGCAAGAAAACAACAATAACAGTGACTACAAGCCTATTTCAAGACCAAGTTGAATCAAGACGATCGCTTCATAGACAAATATATCGGAGTGTCTCCATGAAAAACTTGAACAAATACGATTACAATCGTCGCTTCATTTCATTCGGGAATTTATTTTGTCTAAAGGCAGATAAATATATTATTTGTATAGATTGTTAAAACGACTAAGGGAAGTTATCACTCGAAAATTTATATTGATTTATCTCTCTTCCCACTATAGATGAGCTAAGAAATATATAAATAAATACAAGTTTATATTTATTATTTGGTTTGATTATAATTATTATTATCATTATTTCTACTGACTTATGGCACCATTTTACACATAATTATTGCCAAAATTCTTTGAACTGTGTGAATATTACTGACTGGATCATCGCATTTCTGTGTTAAGATTATTATATTTCTGTTTGTGCGTGCCAAACTCCGACAAAGAATTACCAAGCTAACAAATGAAACGAGGCTAGAAGATTAAAATATTTGGAACAAGGGAACAATCCTTTGTTTTAAATTTATTCAGAAGGCGACAGGCAGGAAGGAATTGTAAATGTATGACTACCTTATACTGAAGTAAAATAATAACAATAATATTTATGAAGAATTTATTACAGGAAATATCAAGTTTTACGAAAACATTTCTGACAAATATGTATTTGGTTACATAACAATAAATAAAAAAATAAATAATATAAATTTTGATGTTATATTCGATTTGTTGTCAGGTAGTTTTCATTTTCTTTTTTTTTGTTGTTGTTATTGGCAGTATTTTGGAATACTTCGGCTGCAACGCTAAGTTTCCTAAGTTGAACAAACTGGAGCTATTTCGTTTACGCTTTGTTACGTCTCTTACCCATTTTTGTTTTTAGATCGCTTTCTTTCAGTCATTTTGATGGATAAAAGCGGAATTCTGACATTTAAAATGGTCTCGTTCCATTTCAAAAATAAAGCCTGTAAAATGAATATTTTAGACTAATATATGACCAAAAATAAAATGCTTTTGACAATAAATGGTTTCACTATAATTATATAATGATGATATAATGATATTCCACAGACAAATCTACGGTTTATGTTACCTCATCTCATTGCATGGTTACGAACTATAAACCTAAATTGAGCTTGAAATATTGTGTAATCGGCTCTAATGTAATGAATAATTTGCATTCAAAAAAGCAATTTTCGGTTTTTGTTGAATACACCCATTCTCCACCGAATGCGTCATATATATAGTCGGTTCCTGGTATTATTTCGAAATTATATGACTCTTCATGACATTTTCAAAAAACGGATCTGACCAAAAAATTGAGTATTCTGTCTCATCTATGCTGGAGCTGCACAATTCTCACTTTCCAGCATTGATATCCAAAAGCGTCTATGTAGTCTTGTCGGTGATGCTTTTTTCTCGTATTCAATTACCCCCGGAAAAGGTTATTAAATCATCTCACCGCAAATATTGGGTTAAATAGTAGGATTTGAATCTGGATAAAAAAACATTTCTTATTACAATCCAAAATATGTTTCGATTTTAAAAGGGGTTGATAAGCCGTAAAAATCAATAAAGCAATATTCGCCTTTTTTGTTGAATACACACATTTTTCGCCGAATGTGTCATATACCTTTTATATTTCTCTTCATAACATTCTTCCACTTCTCTGTTCTTTTTTCCTTTTTTATCTTTTTCATTTTTCTTTTATTTTCTCTTCCTGCATTCGCGTCTTATTTCTTTCATGTTTTGTTTCTTATCTTCTTGCCTTTCGCTTTCTTCTCTCGTTTTATTTTCTTGATTATATTCCATGTCTGATGAATATTTTTTATCGTTGTCCTTATTCCTTGATATTTTCTTCATTCATTTTACATTTTTTTACGATTTTATTCTTTTTTTCTTCATATATTTTTATTTTCCTTTATCTTTTCTTCTTTCATTTTACATCGTTTTTAAATTTTATTCCTTCTTTTTCTTCTTTATATATTCTTCTTTTCCTTTTCCTTTATTTTTGTCTTCATTCATTTTACATCTTATTTACGTTTTTATTTCTTCTTTTTCTTATTCATATATTCTTCTCTTCCTTTCTTTATTTTACTGTTTCTATTTCTTCTTCATTCTTCTACTTATTTTCATTTTATTTTCTTCTTTTGTCTTTAGCCCTGTTTCCTTCTTTCTTTGTTCTTATTCGTTCTTTTATTTTTCTTGTTTTTTACTACTATTTATCATTTTTATTTTACCTACTTTTATTATCAGGAAGAGATGCTAACCATTTGTTGCACATTTCAGTCCATATACACTCAATTTCTTTTGCATAAAGATTAGCCTAATCCATTTAAACTAATTTTGACAGAATTACACAAATTTAACCCTTTAAAAGGTTTCCTTTCTTAGCCCAATTTGGATTCTATTTTCAGAATGTCAGAGGTCTGAAGAATAGATGATTAATTTTCAAAAAAAGACGGAGCAGTAGAGAGGAAAATTGTATCAGAAGGTCATAACAGCAAGAGTTTCATCATTTTAACTTAGAGCTAAATAGATTCTTATCGTTCAAATTAGAATCAAATAATGTTATAAAAACGTTTGAGAATTCCGGTAAGATATCTTTAATCATTTTTAAGATACAAAGATTCAGATCTTAATCTGACAATTGAAAAATTTTTTCTGTTAAACGATTCAGACAATTTTGCTGTGACACCTGGTATATATAGATGGACACTAACCAGTCGGTTAGATACACATCTTCTCCACGTAGTGGTATGTTTTCCTACTGAAAAGTAGATATGAAGCCTCGGACGGGCACTAGAGTTCATCGATACTATCTATGCGTTATCAAAAAGACTATTTGTCAGGTTTGCATTCCCAAACTCAAATTAGTGTTGCCAAGTTGTAAAAATTACAGTGGAAATTGCCATTTGTCTCTAGCCTACGCATTCTACAGAAAGAATGTGAGCAACCATTTATATATTTGTATTTTTTTACTATTTCATTCTAAACGAAATGCATATAGATAGAGTTTGGAGTCACAGGAAATAGACTGAAATCATATTTATTAAAATTTATTAAATTTAATTTACGTTTCTTCAATATTCTTAATTTTGGCGTATATGTAGTCAGCCAATAAATTTATATTTTACATAGGCAGAATTTTAACTCCTACTTCTATTAATTTCCGGAAGAAATATATTTTCTCCAGTTCCGCTCACAAATTTCCACGAAAACGAATACATAAAAAAAAATAAAATAAAAATATTCGGCGTATGTATTAATTTGAGGATATTTTCTAATGGAATTAATAAATTTCGAATTTTAATCTGCAAAAGGTCCTGATGTAAGAGGAGAATGCATCATATTAAATATTAAAAATAGATTATTTATACGATTTATCTGAAAACCAATATTTATTTGTCAGTGCATGCCTAATTCCATGAGGAATCTAATTTATGATTCACTGCATTATAGTGTATGTATATATATATATATATATATATATATATATATATATATATATATATATATATATATATATATATATATATAATAAGGTAAAGAACAAATAGGAGACGTTTATCAATCTAATATGTTTCAATTTTTATAAGTGAAAGATATCAGATTCATACACCTTTCCTATTTGATCTTTATCTTATTCTCTCGCATTCTGATCCATATTTGATTTATATTATATATATATATATATATATATATATATATATATATATATATATATATATATATATATGGGATTTGGTAATATACATACTTATATTTGATATGAAAAGTAATAATAAATAATTTAAGTAATTCTATTACATTTACTTGTTTTAAAAAGAAATATAGTCTATTAGTAATTAAGTGTAAAAATATGTTAAAATTATAGTTAAATAAAATGCATTCTAACCCCAAAACTCCACGAAAGAATCTTTACGTATACAAGTAAGAAAAAAATGCCGAAAAACTTTTTGCCGTTAATAAAAAAAAACCAAAAAGAATTCGTTGAAACCCCTAACCTCCTTAAACTTAACCTCTTTTACGAACGTAACTCATAATTGATAGAACAATAGTTAATAAAAATGAAAACGCTACCGCCCCTGTCTGAATGGCTGGATTTCTCTCTATCCTTGGAAACAGGAAATTATGAATTCATGTGCGCGTTTAAAACTCAGTAAATTTTAAGATAAGTTATTCCAATATTCCCTTGAAGATGAAACGAAACTAACGCTTTTAATTTAATTATATAATTAAATTTAAAGTTTTTAGCTTCATTTTTTGAAACATGGTCATTACTGTGTAGCGAAATACCATATTTTAAATAAGTTAATTTTTAATATTTATGCTCTGTAAATTTACATTGAACACTGTTTTGTAAAAATAAAAATAAAAAATATCAATAAGATTATAATCTTACTGTTCTTGGATTATATATATATATACTGTTATATATATATATATATATATATATATATATTATGAGACACCAACCCTATATCCGGGTGTTTTTGTCTAAACATCATTTCTAGAAAGATTGCCACCCAAGGCTAGAGAGCTTTTGCAAGCCATAAGATGAATTATTCCGCGCCAGACACAAACCTGGAATTTAAATTTCCCCGGATTATTGATCTATCCTCAGGATTTAATCCCTAAGACAGTTCCGTGATATGGCCTTAAGTCAGCGGAGGTTGAAAATAAGAGTTTTCTTTAAGTGCTTTAATTAAGCAAGTTCTTGATTCAATGTCTTAAATTCTTAAAGTTGTGTAATTTGGCCAAGCTACCCCTTCTTTTAACCCCTTAACCATGACCTCCCTTTCTACAACATTCGTGATATTCGTACCAAATTCTTCAGTGTGGAATCATTCCTCTTCAAAAAATTCTCCAAACAACCTATCTTTCTGTGAAACTAACATTAACTTGTCAATCCCTTCCTCTGATTTCTTGATTACTGACTACCTTCCTCAAATTAAAAACGACTCCATACTCCACATGCCCTCTTGGGTATAACGATACATTATATCCTCCTCATGGGTAAGACAATAAACTACGCCCAACAGCAAGACCTCTGATCAGGAGGCTTTGAGATGTGTGGAACCACCTCTTAATTTTTGGTGTTCCCAGGTCCACTCTTACCCGTTAGGGTCCCAGCTATGGGTAAATAGTTAACCCCGAAGGTAAAAAGCTTTATGAAAGGGAAAACTAGGTTTTAATACCAGAAAAATTATTACCAGAAATAAATTTTTGAAGAAAATCTATTACCAGCACTTTTTTTTTCTAAAAAAATATTACCAGCAATATATTTTTTTTAAATTATATTACCAGCAATACATTTTTAAGGAAAAAAATATTACCAGAAATAGACTTTTGACAACACAAATTATCACCAGGAAAAATATGTAGTCGGCATTAAATGACCCACTTAGGTAGCTATGCCGTAAAACAAACCAAATCAAACCAAACCAAAGTCCACATGCAAGGTCCGGGAGTTTATGTCTTCGAACATCTCCCGCTGGCTAGGGAACACTGTGTTGAATTTCCAAACCATTTGTGTATGTGTCTCCATATCTCTCTCCTTAATTCAGTCAGCTATCTCTTCTTTCGCTATTAATCAAATTCTTCTCATGACTGTTGCGTATTAGATAGTAATTCCGATAATTTTGACAAGGCCGTTTGCTAACATATTCGTGTTCAGTAACCTCAACGCCCACCATATTAGGTGGCTTAAACACTCTGTCACAAAGTCCGCTGCCATCCAAACCCTTAACTTTTCAAGCACCCATTCTCTCAGACAAGTGGCTGTCATTCCTACGCATTTCCCCAGTAACCCTGACGGAAACGCTTCTCTTCTCGATTTCTGTTTTATCTCTGTCCCAGACTCTTGTCACACGAGGCAGTTCTACCTTCTTGACAACTCTGATCACGCGATTGTGTCTGCAAACATCTTTTTCCGTTCCCCCACCAGACAAGACCACCTACAAACAGAATATCTGTTATCGACGAGCGGACTGGGACTCCTTCCAAGATTTTCTTCGTGATGTCCCTTGGAATGTAGTCTATAATCATCCCCTTAAAAACATTTGCGTCTGTGGCCTCCTCCTCCTCCTGGGTAAAAGCCGGCATCAATACTTTCATTCCAGCAAGAACATGTCTTGTTAAACCACGTTAATCTCCTTGGTTCTCACATGCTTGCTCAGCCGCTTTAGCCCACAGGAATCACTTTTTCCATCTCTATCGTCTGATTGTAACAGACGCCAATTTGTCTTGTAACGAGTGCAAGTGTGTGCACAATGAAGCTAACTTAAGGTTTGCTGATAGAATGAAATATCGTGGAGAATCGCGAAAGTTTTGTTCTAGAGATTATTGGCGGCTTTACACTTGTGTGCTGACCAACAGCTTATCCTTAATACCTCCTCAATTCAATCAAATCGAAGTCTTAACATCTGCCACAGATCAAGCTGAATCCTTTGCTCGAAAATTCGGTGTAACCATGCCCGACTTCCTCCTAAAATTGAACCTCTGAATGATATGTGTATAACTCTGTTTTTATATTCCGTGCTAAGAGAATAAACATATAACACCAGGTGGATACTAGAAGAAAAGGTTTATTGTACACAAGTACAATATGAAATACGGTACAGTTATACACACAGGTTAATCTAGTAGTGAGTGCTACTAATTGGAAGGTCAGACGTGCTTGGGTCGTCTCTATCACACGTCCTCGTCGAGTCTCTCGTAAACGGTAGACTCTATAGGTACTTGCTACCTATAGTGCAATCAATCATAATGGCGACTGGTTATTCCATTACATCAGACTCACATAAGTGAAGGTGACGGGATATCAGCCGACGTCGTAAAGAAATGTGCTCTCGAACTGGCTACAACTATTGCCTCTCTGCTTTATTCTTTGCAACTAGTAGGAAGTCCTCTTCTGTAGCCCCTTAAAAAAAACTCTGGAAGGCTTCCGACTCATGTAACTCTCGACCTATTAGTCTTTTAGCGCTTTTTGGTAAAGTAGTCGAGGCTTTAACCAAAGTGGTTAAGCATCTTACCTCTCACGATCTACTGTCTGTCAAACAATATGATTCCGTTTTCCCCGGTCTACCACTGATGTGAATACGGCCATTACGCATATCAAACTCTTGATAATAACGACAAAGCTCGAGCTGGGTCGCTAGATATCTTGAAGGCGTTTGATGTGGTTTGGCATCCTGGTCTTCTA